CAAGTTATAAAAAAGTATATTAGTAAAGTAAATACAAAAGAAAAATAAACAATTCACCACCATATGTGCAGCCTCCTGTTGCTTTAGCTACACTGACGATAATTTGCTCTTGCTACTACGTTTTCTTGATAATATAAAAAGGCATATTGATTATTGATCGAGGAAATACAAAAAAAGATAAATAACCAGAAAAGATTGAAAAAGAAAGGGAAATTCAGGCGATCTATATATTTCGAAGGCTTTGCACTGTTGCTAAGCTACAAGACGGTTTCCTTTGTTTCCCATATGTTTTCCTGTTGCAAAAAAAGCAAAATTTGCGTATATGCCTGTTTACTACGTTATGCTACAATATAACAATGATGCCTTATTGGATTGCCGATACATCTACAAATTAGGTAATTGTAAAGCTTGAGGGCAAGCTTTTTCGAAAAGGGGGGTAGTATCATAGATCGCATCTAATCACAACTGCGATCGCTCACATGCACACTTGCGCACATACACGATCATATATACATAGCTAGTATATAGAAACGCTCTATGAGCGCTTTGCTCCCGATTCTGTAGTTATAGATTCTAAGGATAAATTGTACCCTGCTCTTGCAGTTCTTCTAAGGCAAAGTATCACAATATGATATTCTACAAAGAGGTTGAAAGTGATACAATGTAACTTTGCCATATAATGGCAAGATGACTAAGCATCCACTACGCTAATATACTACGCTAGTGAACCCGTGACATATTCTTTAGAATGAAATTTTTAAAAATAATAGAATAAATACAATAAACTTGTTATTAATATTAACAAAATCAATTCTTGAATTATTATAGATAATTAATATATTAACGAAATTCATAGATTGAAATAGAGTTATATAACAGTATATCTTATAATTTGCAAGAGATTCCTTAAAATAGAAATAGGATTAAAGTATTATTAGGTATTTCTTCTTTTAAAACAAATCTCTAGAATTCTGTAAAGAAAATACTAAAATCAAGATATCTTTACTTAATATATATAGTTTATTCTATATATTTTATATTCGATCAAAATCCCTAAAAGTAATTTTCGAGATATTCAAGGAGTATAATATAATTGATAAACTAAGGAATCCCATAGAAGATTTTAGGTAATATAAGCTTGTATATCTTTCTAATAAATCTTTTAATAATATAAATCAAGCAAACATAAATCATTAGGAATTTATTATTATTCATATTCAATTTTTCGTATTTATTTATTTATTTATTTATATTAATTAACGTCTGTTTTAGATCTCCCTAAGGGTATTTAGATGTGTTAAGATAAGGAACTATTTGAGCAACGTGATTGTCACAATCGAATTTAGCAATTTAATTTTAATGCCAAGGGCTATTCACTTCTTTGCGGGTACGATCTGCTTCTGTTTTTAAAGGGAATATCTGATCCAGATTGTTATTAAGGTAAAGCTTGATTTTTGGGTGGATAGGCTTGTTATAGACTTCGATTCTTATGGTAGAGGAGAAAAGTGAGAATAGATTGCTATTTGTTTAGCCAAGTAGCAGGACTCTTGTGTTATATATTGGGTTTGCGGTTTTTAGGGTATAGTGTATTCGAGTGATTAGTTGAGTGATGAGTTTATAAGGGATGGGCCAATTTTTCGTGTATCTATTGAATAAATCTATATAAATCAAAGTAAATATTATTAACCTTTTTTGAATTAAAGATGTATTTATTTAATCAAATAATCAAAATAAATACAATAAATTTGGAAATAGAGTTAGCAAAAGTTTTAAGGAATACAATTTCAAACGAGCAAATATAATAGATATAGATTGGTAAGACCAATCGAGTAGATAAATATTTTGAATAATAATCTGCTTATACAAATAGTTTGAATACATTTGCAAACTAGGGATTCGGAAATTTCGTATTCGAGTAATCTATTGATTTTCCTTTAGCTCGGTATAATATACAGATACTGATTAGAAGATATTAGTATCAAACCTAGGGATTCTCTAATATAGAAGTATCAAATTCCAAGGAGTCCCCAGATCGGCTAGGCAAATACAAAGCAGTTCATTATAGAAGTGATATTTTAATAAATAAGAGCTACATAGTATTACGAGATAAACAAACAGAATAGAGTTCTAATAACTTTGCCCTAATCTGATAAGATTATATTGATTCAAGTAATAAATTTAAATTGAGGATTAAAATATAGCTCAAAGAGCTATAATACAGGATCTTCCAAGTTGAAGATATACAGGATTTGTTAAGCAAGCTAGTCCGATCAGGTCCTAGCTTACTTGCGCTCCGGCGCGAGCGCCCAATTCAGTCCCCTCCGAGGGGACCAATATGTCACGTGATCTCACACCGTGACAATTTGTTTTAAAAGCTGTTTTATCCTATAAGAATAGTTTTTATATATATTCTATTGAATATAAGCAGGGAGTAGGAGGGGATAGATCTAGAAAAGCTATGTGGAAGAAAATTGAAGCACGCGGTATATCATGTTGCAATAGAATGTATACAAAAGCTACCCTTATAGGATAAAGTAGCTTTCAAATAAATATTATATAGAAGATTGGAAAGTGTATACGGAGGTGCTCAGAGGATTGGAGACAAAGGTGCAAGTGCGCTAGCTATTGCTTGGAAGGCTATTGAGGGTATTGAGATCTTATCCCTAGAAAAAGGGGATTATATAAATTAGAAGATCATCCCGTAGTTAGCCCAACTGTAATGCCCCCTGGGAGGCTCGCCTATACGGCCCGGTTGAAAATTACTAATAATAATAATAATAATAATATATTCTATTGTAATATAATATACTATATGCTTTAATTTTCTTTCATATAGCTTTTCTAAATCTATTCCCTTTTATTTCTTGCTTATATTTGCCTAAATCAATCAATCCCTTTCCTTCTCTCCTTTTATTCTTCTGATAATATTCTAAGATATATATTTCTATAGAAATCTGTTATAACAATAAATTTAGCAAATTTAGCTGATATATATATTAATTATTTCAATAATCATTCTTAAGTTGTTTAATTATAGAATAAATATTTAAACTTGATATCTAAAGGTTAGGTTTTATAGATTATGAGGATTTTGCAGTAATATATAATATATTCAAAAGATTTGAATATTTTGTATAAGTAATTGTGTGAACAAGGGAATTCACTTCAAAAGAATGACTTCAATACAATGGCTACTGTATCAAAGGTATTTAGGCGAATGCGAAGGAGACTAGCTCTTTCAGTAGTGCCTATATAAGGCCTACTACTTCCCCTCATTAGCTAGCTCTTTAGACAGAATACAATACAGACATTTAGGGGCCTACTAATGATAGTGGGAACCACGTCTCCCGTATTCCTGATCTCATTATTGAACCAACAGTAATGGATTATTGCTTCCTTATATTTAAATTATTGGTAGTAATTTTTGAAATTGTTATGTGTTGAGTGGATTGTTAGTATATAATAGAGAATTACTTATGAGAATTCTAATTCCTTAGAGTATTTGTTTGTACTCTTTGAATCCCATTTCTGGTATTATTTGAAGAGTATTAATATTTGTTTAATTCATTATACTTATATTATTGATTCTATAATGATTTTTGCTATAAAGCGGATATCGCTTATTATAAATCGATTTGCATATCCTGAGGCTAATCTTTTTATTCCTTTATTAGCGAGTATGTTTGTTTGCTTATTCCTTTCGATTCTTGTATAGCCTAACGACTATTTGATCTGGATTAGGTATGTTTGTATTAATTTGTAGTATTTAAGAAAGACCTATTACAATATAATAAAGGCTATACCTTTTATTCCCTATATTATCAATATATTATCAATATATATACAGATTTCCATTTATTTTATACCAATAATATTTCTAATCGTTATTTGAAGGCCTTGGTATACCCCGATTGCTTCTGTATCGAATATATAAGAATTGTAATACAATCTACCGTTTCCTTTACATACTACCATCTATCCTCTATATACAATATATTTATATCCTACTTGTCTATCATCCTTATCAGTCTATTCCAATTTATCAGAGAATATAGTAATCTGATCGTATATGTATTTATTCCACTATTCTTGGAATTGCTTTGTTACTGCTTTTTTTGTAAAGCCTCTAATAAGATCTATTCGATATCCTGGTATGTAGTAGGGCCTTACTAAAATCTTTTCCTTGATTCGGGGAAGATACTGATTGATTATCTAGACTTTTGTTCTAACTAACTGCAATTAGTCTTCCCTATTACTAAAGGAATAGGTGGCTCTTATCCCTCGATAATAAAGAGAGTGTTTTGGATCAATAGTTTGGGTACAGAGGGCTGCTCTCCATTTTATCTGTTCTAGCACTACTTCTGCTAGTGGAAGAGCGCTGTCCCTCATCATCACTGTATTCGGGGTCGTTCGCTAGACTGGGAGGACTCCTCTAATCGCTATTCGTAGGACCTTATTGATAGCTACATTAATATAATAGTTTACATTATATAAGGATTTATATTAAATTTCTTTTTATATCTAGATATTAACTTTACTACTACAGGACAAGCACAGCAAACTAACCCAAACTCGCTTCTCCACCCCTATCACCATCTTCACGAAACATCCCCAACGCAACACAAACCACATTTTCCAAACATACCTTCACCTTCCCCTTCTCCATCTCATCTACCAGTTCTCTCATCTTTTCTTGATCCGCATCTCTAAATCTCTATTTTCCAATTCAGTAGAAAATTCAAATTTATAACAACTTCCCAGCGAATATGTTCTCTATAATCAGATTAGTAAAATAACTTTTTTAATCTCTATTTATAGAAAATAAACAACTACTTTTTTAACAAAAATCCTCAATTACCTCCTTCATTCTGGCTTCCCTTTCTCAGCCAAAAAAACATAATAAAATCACCCTCTCCCTCCCCCTCCCCCAAAAAGTATCAAAATCACATTTCACTTACTCTAAACAATAAATCCCAAGAAACCCTTTCAATATATTACAACTACTCTTTCTCCTCTTCCTCCTCTTCCTCCTCTTCCTCCTCTTCCTCCTCTTCCTCCTCTTCCTCCTCTTCCTCCTCTTCCTCCTCTTCCTCCTCTTCCTCCTCTTCCTCCTCTTCCTCCTCTTCCTCCTCACTACCAACTATCTTCCAACCCCTCCCCTCCTCCTCCTCACTACCAACTAACTCCCAACCCCTATCTAGATATCTATCAATCTATCAGTCTCGCTAATCGATCAATCTCTATCTCTCTATTCTCGATTATAGTCTATTTTCATAGTAGTTGATATAGCTATCTATCTACCATTACCCTCTCCATATTCATACCCTAATCTAATAAATCAACGCGTAATATGCAGAGTTCATTAACTCACTCACTCACTTACTCAAGTCATCACATCACAAAGCTAATAATCATCCTCAAAAGATCTTTCTTATCATCTTTTCTTATCTCATCGCATCCATTCTACTCTAATCCTAACATCTACAAGTCCTCTTTCAATTCTCTCGCAGACTTTTATATGGTATCCATTGCAATCGTTGCTTCCTTCTCTCATTCTGCCCCAGACTGCTTGCCTTTACTAGCCTTCCATTTCTACCTCTCCATCTCACCTCATCTTAGAAAAGAATGACAAATTCAACTCCTAAACACCCATCTAACGCAATAAAGAATCTCATCGACAAAAAAACGCATGCAATTTTGTGGGATATGTACAGCAAGCGTGAAAAAGTGGTATTCATATTTATACAATCGGCATTGAAAGATATGAAAAGAAGCGATAAAAAGAATGACATAAACATTAAATATTGAATTGTGTATGCGTGTGTATACACTGAAAACTCGAGGTCGAATATGAACTGTAATTGATTTTTGATTCTGAAAAAAAGTAGAATCCTCGAGATGATATATCTTCGCCGATTTGAGCTTCGAAATGCTAATAGACGTCGAAAATGACGTCAGACTTCAATATAGGAAAGAAGTATTAACTCCAAATTGAGCTAAACGTATTTTGATTTTTCGATGTTTTTGATTTATACAGCACCTGTTGCTGGGTAATACCAAGCACATACTGCAATAATTCTATTAAATGTTAGTATAAGGATATCACCTAAGGAATGAATTCAAACTTACATGTAAAGACATTGTAAAAGCATTCCTTCCAACCAATGACTTTTACCATCACCAATCAAATAATTGACTAGTAAAATAGCCACAAATAAGACAGCAACTTGGAAACCATCGAAACTCAAGTTCATAGCATCATTGCCCATGATCCATCCGATAACAACCAGTAAAGGAATGAGGAATAAAGCAACTTGCATACTGGATCCAACAGCTACACCAATTGCAAGATCCATTTTATCCTTGCAAGCAACAGTTACAGCAGTAGCATGCTCTGCAGCATTTCCAACGATAGGTAAAAGGATAAGACCAACAAATTCTTCAGAGATAGCACCACCTTTAGTAATTGCACTGATACTATCAACCATGAATTCTGCACAAAGTCCAATGATAGCAGTACAAATTGCAAGAGTCGCCCACGCAACCAAGATGTGTAATTGTGCTTCTTCACCTTCTTCCTCTTCATCTTCCTCGTGTGCGTTTGGGTTGATCAGTTCATCGTTAGGTGGTCTCTCGGCAATATTTGCTCGACCAGGTCCTGCTCCAATTCCTCCAGCCTTGGCCAAACCCTTTGCAATTGCACCGTGTGGTAGAGCGTGTTTGCGTGGTTTCATTGGTACCTTTTGACTTTCCTCATTGAACATGGTAGAATGAGTATGTAATTGAAAGTAAAGATAACCGATGTATACCACCAAAAGAATGACCGAAGTACCACGTGAAATAGCTGCAATTGGAGCATCGGTTGTTTCACTCCATAAATCAAAGGTGGTTGGAACAATGACACTAGCAATAGCTAAGGCCAATAAACTTGCAGCGGTTTGAGCAACGGTTTGGTTAAAGAATTGTTCCTCTCTTCGAAGTCCTCCAAAGAAGAAACACATTCCCATGACGAGTAATAAATTGGATAAAATACTACCAACCAAAGAAGTTTGAACAATGAGAACTTCTCCTTTGGCCAAGGCAATAATAGCGACAATCATCTCGACGGCATTTCTAATTCAAGTTAGTAAAGACCATAAAGACCATAAATCGCCAGACATGATACATACCCAAAAGAAGCATTTAATAAACCTCCTAAACTTTCACCCACATGAAGAGCAATTTCTTCAGTGGCAAAACCCAACATCGCTGCCAGTGGTATGATGGCAAGAAAATTGACCACGAAAATAACAATTCCATTTACCCCACCAACATAATTGAGTACGATACCGACTGGTGCAGCGATAAGTAAGACGTTGATCCAGGAATTGAAAATGGTATTCTGCAATTGACTCCTCAGGGTGAAGGGCGCGTGTTTTATATCCTTTCCTCGAAAGATTCCGCCTTTCTTCTTTTTCTCTTCACCATCGACTTCTTCCCTACCCTTCTTGGTAAATCTGCTCAGGAATCTCCGTCGTGCTTTTTCCTCCACACTCGGTTGCCTCGATGATTGTCTTCCAACAATTGTTGCTTCGGTACTTGGATCGCTAGGACGTCCACCATTATTTGTCGCCGACTTTTCTAAATCTTGCATTTCCATTGCCGTGCCAGCATTCTGTGAATTAAAAAATGGTGCTTGGCTCGCTGATGATCGTGGACCATTCTCGGTATTTATCGTTCTTAATGCAGGTTCTTCTAATCCTCTCAAAGCTTCTTCATCGGGAACTTGAGCGGGAAAGGTACTGCTCCGTCGAGTGGTTTTCGAAAAAGGATTCCATTCTGTTCCTGGACCATGCCATGCTTCTTGTCGCGCCGCTCGTTTTGTTGTATCTAGATTGAACATAATGGTAAGTATTGACCCATCAACAATTGGGAAGGAAAATCAGAATAAATAAGTGACAAATGTTGATAAGGGCATGGACATGATAATCATTTGCAAAAGATGTTAGTGAGAAAAGGAATTAACTAACAAAGGTTATAATCGTTTGGAGCCATGTTTTGTATTATCAAGTTGACAAACAATGTATGGGGGGGATTGATGATTCGAAACTTGACCTTTGAAGGTGGATCTTGGGACTAAATAATGGTCGTGGTCGTTGACGAGGTTGTGGTCGTATAAAATGAGGACTAGGGAGGTAGGGAGGGAGGGCGGATAAGGCACAGTCAGGCTTTATTCCTGTAGACCCAATTGATGCTGACGGTGGTGCTGATGGTGGTGTTGATGTTGGTGCTGATGTTGGCGCTTCGATGATTGAAAAAACGGTGGATGACTGTGAAGAAGATAGAGTTGAGTTGAGAAGTGACACCCTTTTTCGTTCCCAGTGAGCTGATCGTTTTCCGAGACCAGAGTGATTTTGTTGATTGGAATTGGATGGTTCAGATCTAAGTTCCCATGCGTCGTCCGTGTACCTAGTAGGTGGTAGATACCGGTAGTAGTTGTTGATTTGTTGATTTTTTTTGGGTAGGAAATGTGATAATTGTGGTAATGGTGGTAATGGTGGTAATGGTGGTAATAAGATTAAATTGATTGTATGGAGTCCTAGTACCTGGGTCTTCTTGACCAGGGGGTGTTTAATAAGAGATCCTTCACGAGAATCCAAAGGACAGAATAGTTATGTACTTCTTGGATAGAGAGAAGATTAACTTTATGTCTTCACAAGAGGCGAATTGAGATAACTGCCTTTGAGGAATTGATTCCTTTCTCGACCTTTTTTTTTTTTTTGGATGGGCAAATTTCAAGAGGTGGCTCAGATGTTGACGTTGGGATTGGGATTGGGATTGGGATTGGGATTGGGATGTGAATTTGATGATCTTTTTTATCTACGAGGTCATTCCTAGAATAATTTGCCCCAGATATTCTGGCTGTAGAAGGGTGAGCGTGAGTGTGAGTGTGGCTGGTGATGAATGGAAGGAAGGTTCTCTTCGTAGGTTGATTTTCTAGAAGAACCTTGGAAAGACCTGTGGCCGAGAAGACTAGAGGAGGCTGAGGTTGGATGTAAAATTCCAGATGGGCAAGGTGTGGAAAGTGTGATGGTTGGTAGGAGAAAGAGGCCGAACGAAGAGAAGAACAGACAGAAGAGAAAGATTCACAAAACATTCAAGTGAGTGATGTGAGTGATGGAGTGAGGATTAAGATGTAAATTGTCAAGAGGATCCTTAATGTCTTGGCAAATTTCCTGCGTCCTCTCGGTGCAATGTGCAGACCAGTTCACCCGTTCACCAACTTTCTTTGGTTCCGTGATAAATGCCTCATTAATGCTAAATGTGCTATGCTGGATGATGTTATCACGATGATGGTGATGATGATGCGTAAAGGATCATAAGATTGTAAATTGTCCAATGATATTGAGGTAGATGGTCGATAGTTTGCGTGGCACCAATGCGAGGGTGATTGATAGCTTTATTGTCGTGATATTATGGTTTTCATGATATTATGACTGTCTAAATAACATTACCGTGTATATATATTACTGGTATATATCTACCGATACTTTACACCTAATGATAATCATATAAATTGTTACTATTCACAGACAATACTTTCTTCCACAATCTATTACAATCTATAACAATCCATTAACTATCCATTAACTATCCATTAACTATCCATTAACTATCCATTAACGATCCATTAACTATCCAGTAACAATACAATCAATTCTAAATCTCGAGTCTTGAATCCCAAGTTCCAAATCCCAATGCCATATCCCATCCCATCCTCAAATCTCCTAAACATTCAAGCATTTACCCCTAAAACCAAGGAATCTTCCTCACGAAAATCAAGATTTCTTCTCTCCTCCAAAATCACCACACCACTTAAATCTTGATCTTCCCATCTTGGCGCATTTACACAAGAGAAGCCAATAATCTTGATTTTATCAAGCTTCTATCAACGAGATATTGGCGTACATTAGTTTGAACATCGACAACGACACTCCATTACGGTTGATATTTGTACTACACTTCATCGTCTGCTATTGAGATGGTGCTATATCTAGTAGGTACATACACTTTATATCGTACGACCGAGTACAGTTCGTGTTCTATTTGATCAATACAAAGTAGAAAACTTCAATCAATCGACAACAACACATACAGTATTCGTACAAAATATCAAACCAACTCTCAATCAACAATACAATCCCTTTACCATCTCCATCAATCACAAACAAGCGCCCTCTTATGTGATGACGACGACATTATAATTACCCCTTAAGCCAAACCCCCCACATCCATGAACGCTTCTCCCGGGGTCGCATATCGGTCGCTGCAAGCTTGTTTACTCCATATCATTTCCTCGGTGGTGCATACATGATACATATCGTACACATTTCTTGAATTGGAATTGGAATTTCAATCTGAATCTGTGCTCACTAACATTGGTGCAGCGGCTGACCTCCTTCATTAATCAATGTCGACATCAATATTACCGTAAGGGTAAGGATAACACACGGCATCATGAATCATCATCGATAGCATATCAAGGTTCAACACATACATACACACACACTCCAATCTCAAACCCTCTGAATCATTTCGAAAATCCAAATTCATCCATCGCACAAATGATCCAGTCGTTCAAGGTTTCTTCATTCAATGCGGGGACTGAACTGGGACGGGGATGAACAATATCCTATCCATTCCATCGTATCGTATCGAAACATCCGTCCCGTGCTGTAGTTGAATAAAGTTTCCACCGACTTGTCGATAGGCTATCATTGACAAAAAATTTCAACATAGCCACATAACCATTGCTGAAATCCATTCCCTCCGTCCACTTTTGCCCACATCGCATATCACATATCACACATCACCACATCGCCAATTCGAATCATCACCCCCGTCAATCTATCTCCATCAATATCAAATCATTACACACTCACGTGATACAATCCATACACACACAACACAACTACCGGGAACTACCGAACGCGTTACAAGTCGTGACTCGTGGCAAATCCTGAGATCGAATCATACGTACAGAGAGATGAAACATCATCCCATACTACCGACAAGTTTGGTCTTGGGATGCAGATCGCTTCTGTACTGAGAATTGGTCGGTACCTATGAATTGTAAAGAAGAAATGGGGGCCAGGAACAGGATTTCAGTATCATGAATTTCATGTGATGTGGCTGTGATATTGCGGGTCTGTATGTGGCTGATGAATGATGAATGATGAATAACCAGTGGCTAGGGAGTACACACATTATGCTGGTGGCCCCATCAAAAATAAAATCGGTGAGCGGCGAAACTCTGGATGAACTGAACCCTGAGCACAGAGCTACCTCGCATCTCGCATTATATCCGCACTACGATACACACAACACACCACACCACACAAACCATCCCGCAAGTAACGGTGAGTACCTACATATGGATAAGTCTTCCTGCGGGGTTACCTACAAACCCAAACCAGATCCATGATGAGCTGTACATGGCATCCATCGTACGCAGAAGATTCCGTTTCCGAGCCTCAGTATCTACGTACTCAATCCATCTCGGTAGGTATGAGCACGGACGGACGGACGGGTAGCAGAGCACCTGGATGATATTGGAATCTGACGTGTCAGACAAAACATGCTCGTTTTCGTTTCTCGTTTTGAGTATGTATCGCGAGGCGATGCCAACGAATCTTCTTTCTTTCTCTCTTTCGTTCTTTCGTTCTTTTCGTTTGGTCATCATATTGACAATCATAATCGTAATCACAATCTTCAGCTGTGAAGTGTTCCAAATCTCAGTCAGCACTGGAGAATTCTCAAATCGTTCGTAAGTATATCCACATCGCTCGTGGCGTGGTAAGGCGAATCGAATGCAGGCGTGCGCGCGTGCGTGCGTTAAAATGACCCGAATCCAGTACCTTGGGCCGTAAGGCTGTGGATGCGGCTTGGTTGGGGTTTAGGTTGGGGTTGGAGTTGGAGTTGCCTCGTCTTATCTTTATTTTATTTTTATTTCATAGAGGTCTTTCTTGAGACTTGGTTTGGGCGTGGGATTTTTTGGTTTGGGCGTTTCGGATGGTAGGTTGGTGTTGGAGGGAGGGAAGGAGGGGGGTTCAGGCAGCATGTTGAAGAGATTTTCATATGGGGATATCTACCTATGATACTGAGTGAGGCGGAGATGAAATGCGTGGCCAGAAAGATTTGACATGTGTAAGTGGTTTTTGGGTTTTGGGGCTTGAGAGATGATTTTTTTTTTCTTTCGCGTGTTTAAACTAGCAATGAGTATGTAAATATTTCAAAGTCTAGATTTCAATTCTAATGGTAAAAATACATTTATCGCCATGCTATTCCTCTCTATATTTTAAGAAATTCCATAGAACAACTACCATTCAAAAATTACATCTTACTACCTATTCTCATCGTCTTCCCCAGAAAATCCATCGATCACGTCGCTATCAAGACATATCTCTTTCGAGAAGTCGACCCTATTGTTCGTCCCACGTATCACGAGTCAAGTTGTATTTGATTCGGTCTAGATAGAGTCTGTGTTTGGAATATTCGACTACCTATCTAAAGACATCTCTTTAAGTAGAGTGTTTGAGGATCTCAAGTAGAATCAAGAATTGGTGAACGTGGAGTAACCTTACAAGTGTAATGATTCGAATCTTTGGATTTCCTTCATTCTATCTGCGGGATGGATAACATGTGTTGATGAGAATGTATGAGTATATTATCTTGTTTTCCTAGTAATGAAATCGTTTCTCAGTGGTTTATATGGGTAGGTATAGATAGGTAAATACATAAGACAGCGAACCCTGAAAATCATAGCACTGTGAATATTTGATATACTTATATATCCCATTCTTTTTGAGTAACGTGAGGATATCACCAATGAACCTTCGACTGCGCATGCAATTCAGTTCGGAACTCCTCGATACTCAAATAAGTTGATGAATGAATTGATAGACGACTCCGCCTTTTTAATCGTGGCTCGTTCGAACTCTGCCATTCATATCTCATATTTCATATTCTGAAGGAAAGAAATCTGTATGTATGTATCATTCTTTAATTTGATATTGTTCTACAACATAAGCCCCTTTCGATTTTTTTCGGTATCACCAGCCTGAAACTATGAATTCTGTTGTACCACGAATCACAAGACACAAGATTGGATCGGATGAAATAGAAAACATGTTTTAAATCTCGAGTCTTTATGATATCATTGTAGTTTTATTGAACTGGAAACGTCTCTTTTGCGTTGAAAAGTGTTTCGTTTTCTAAATAATATTGGTGAGAAATGGTTACACACACATACTTGCTTAAATTCCTGAGAGAACAACAAGTGCTTCATGATACCACTTAGATACATGATTCTCGTACCCAAAACATCGGTATTGCATGGCAACGTCTGAATCTCTGCAAGTGCGGCTTGGAGATATTCACCAAATCGTAAAGGCATGCACAACATAGCCTTTTCTATATATAGGTATCCAATTTCAATCATATCAATTTCAACAAAATCGATAGGTATTTATACTATCGTCTCAAGTCACTCTTCGTCTAATGTTCTAACAGCCACCGAAAAATCTGAATGAGAAGGCTGTGGTATGGACTTCAACAAGACTGCGGTATCAACCTCAGGGCTTAGCATAGGAACCCTACGAGCTTCTAGTGCTTTTGAAAGGTTATATAGTTTCCTCGTCCCTTTGCCAAAAGAGATTCTGATCTACAATAAACACAACATACACAGCATACACACAACTACTGAAAAATCCCTTCCTACACATCTCTACTACAATCCCAAGACAAACGCCAAGTTCTCTAGACCATATCACGCTCTCTTCATCATGATGAAGTTCCTCCTTCTTTTTCTCTTTGCTGCCACCATCCTGGCTCAATGTCCCGAACAATCCGAAGCAGGTCGAAGACTTTATCGCTGCGTCAATACAACCAGTGGTCAAGTGGCTGGTCATCCATCTCCCAAGAAACCAGCCGTTTATGAATATCTCGGTATCCCATTCGCACAACCTCCTATTGGTGATTTACGATTTGCTCCTCCACAACCATTTACTGGAAACGAATCTCTTAATGGTACAAATTTTGTAAGTTAGACTATCTTTGATGTATCTTCCAACACTCATTCTAATAATTAATAGGGATATACATGTCCAAAGCTTTTCTCCGATGAACTTTCACTCATCCCATCAAACTTCCCAGATGTAGTCGATAACTACACCGCTTCTGGTATTAGTATCCTCGATACCTTTACTCAAGCAGGTGATGGACCTAGAAACAATGAAGATTGCTTAACACTCAATGTTTGGGTTCCCAAACCCGCTCAAGCCCCAGTCGTTGGAACCAAAAAAGCAGTCATGATTTGGATCTATGGTGGTGCTTTCAGAGATGGCGCGACTGAATCGCATATTTATGATGGCTCGACTCTCGTGGATCAAGAAGATGTGATTATGGTTAGCATCAAGTAAGTTTCTCTTTTCCATCATCATCAATTCGATCGTCGCTAATAATTCAAAGTTACCGTGTAAACATCTTTGGTTTCTCCGGTGATTCAACAGGTCCAACCAGTAATTATGGAATGCTCGATCAACGACTCGCTATCGAATGGGTGTATAACAATATTGCCAATTTTGGAGGTGATCCATCTCGTATCACTCTCTTTGGTCAATCGGCAGGAAGTTGTTCCATCGACTATTATTCCTACGCTCACCCACAAGATCCCATCGTCTCGGCTATGATCATGCAATCCGGTACCATCCCCTCTCTTCCCACCTTCTCCTCCTCCGAAGCTTTCTCTTCCTGGCGCAATACTTCCTCATCCCTCGGCTGCGGCGACGCCTCAGTCGACCCCGATTCCGTCATCCAATGCATGCGCAACCCCAATCTCACCACGGCCGCCATCCTCCAAATCGCGCACCTCTACACCTTCCTCCCCTCCATCGACGAATCCCTCGTCTTCTCCGACTACCCCGCGCGCGCCGCCGCAGGAAACCTCACCACCCTCCCCCTCCTCATCGGCAACACCAACAACGAAGCCGCCGTCTTCGCCGCCCAATCCCTCATGTCCGGCCACCCCATCGACATCCCCCAAATGACCAACTCCACCTTTGCGTGTCCCACCGCCGCGCGCGCAAACGTAAGCACGGCCGCTGGGGCCAAAACATGGAGATACCGCTATTTCGGGGACTTTCCCAACCTGCAAATCCTCAAGGGCGTGGATGCCGGCGCTTTCCACATCACGGATGTCTATAGCGTTTTTGGCACGTGGCCGACGGGACCGGGGATCACGGGCGCGGGAAAAGAACAGGTTTTGCTGGGGAGATATATGAGAGGTGCGTGGGCGGCTTTTGCAAAGGATAGTGAGCAGGGTTTGAGTGATTACGGATGGCCGGTTTATAAGCCTGAGGAGGAGACGGTGGTGAGATTGGGTTGGAAGAATTCTGTGGGTTTGGTTTTGGATCGTGCGAAGGTTTGGGATAGTACTTGTTAGTTTGGGATGGGGATTTTGATGGGGAGTTTTTCTAAGATATTTGCGAGACTTTATGGCATCTGCTAGATGGGATTTAAATCAATTTCAGTCTCAGTTTCAAATGTCATAAACATATATGCAAGATTTTCGATAATGGGAGATGGAACATAACACAGCATACGATAGGATGGATGGATAGATGTAAAAGAATTCATAACCTTGCCTTGCGTTTGCCTCTTCTTTTGAGATATCGATATCGATACCGATGGCGTTAAAATATACATACATACCTTATACACTGGATGATCTCATTTTACTTACTTACTTACATACTTACACAGTTGTATCTTTTGATATGGTTTTGGGTTCTTGAGTTGAGGATTGTGATTTTTTTTAGGAGGTTTTAGAGGTTTTAGTAGACGGCTGGCTCATATTTGTAAGATTACATGGAATTTCATACGTAGGTACTCTGTATAGATAGGTAGGTAGGTAGGTAGTTTGGGTTCTATGTATTTTTATCTTGGGAGAGAGAAAAAAGTGGGATGTGTATATATATGAATATATGAATATATGAATAAATGAATAACTGAAATAAATGAATAAATAATACTAATAATAATCATTAATTTTCCTAGAAGCTAAATACGATAAACGATAATAAAGAGTATTTTTATTTTATTTTATTTATTTATATTAATTAACGTCTGTTTTGGATCTCCCTAAGGGTATTTAGATGTGCTAAGATAAGGAACTATTTGAGCGGCGTGATCGTCGCGACCGAATTTAGCAATTTAACTTCAATGCTAGGGGCTATTCGCTCTTCTGCGGGTGCGATCCGCTTCTGTTTCCAGAAGGGAATGTTTGATCCGGGTTGTTATTGAGGCAGAGCTTGGTTCCCGGGTGGATAGGTTTGTTGTGGGCTTCGATCCCTATGGTAGAGGAGAAGAAGCGAGAGTGGGTTGCTATTTGTTTAGCCGAGCAGTAGGGCTCTTGTGTTATATATTGGGTTTGCAGTTTTTAGGGTGTAGTATATTCGAATAATCAGTTGAGTAATAAGTTTATAAGGGATGAGCAGCAAGTTTTGTTGAAAAGATTATTGCTTCTAAGAATCCTTTAGTAGTTAGGATAGATCTGAGTGTAGAACTCTGAGTTGGTAATTAGCTGAGTAAGCTTGTTAGGTGTGTGTAAGAGTTTTTTGATATATATGATCGCCTGCTTGTTAGATTGCATTTCTATAGGGGCAAGGGGTCAGTCTGAACGCTTTAGGTTGTTTATAGTGTATTTAAAGAAGTGATATGATTCCTTAGCGCTGTCGCATGAGCAGTCCAGCTTGTTGTTTTGATGACCAAATCGCTGATGGTAAGCGGCGTAGTCGCCTAAATAAAGAGTAAGATATTATATATATAAGGTTTTCCAAAATCAGTAAGCAGTTTATTATATCTAGATAGAAGATTATTTCTATATTAGATTATATATTGTTTATTTATTGAGTTATAATATAGAATAATATAGTTTTATATAATGATCATGATCATAATTATGACTATATATTCTATCTATTTATTTATTAGAGATCGTATAAGATTACTGAGAATATAAATGTAAATGTAAATATAAATATAAAAAGACAATTCTTTTTAATACGAGTTTTTTCTTTACCTTTTAAATATGAATATGAATAGTATCTTACGTGATATTTTAGAGCATTCAAGAAAATCAATGAGTAGGTATTTTGGAGGGAAGGATTTTGCGGGATAGAGGTTATACTCGTAGTAGTTTCTGGTATATGATTTTCTATAGATATATATATCGGAGTGCTTTTATACTAAAAGAGGAGTTTTATGTAATCGAAATGAGAGCCGGGAATAGAGTACTATCTGGAAGGATTTCGATTATTTGAATATCTTTTCGAGGTTATATTAACTATATATGTTTCTGATTGTTGATATAAAGAAAATTCAAGTTTAATATCTGATTAGTCTTCTGAAATTTTAATATTTGATTCGAAATGAGTTTATGATTTATGATTTATTGAAGAAGTTTTTTAAAAGGATACTTAATTTCCGTCTCTTATTTCGATTACGTAGAGAGAGGACGGTTTCTGCTCTCTGCTACCTCACTCGATAAAGAATGGGGGTCGAGAAAAGAAAAGAGAAAGAAGATGAATGATTTGAATATAGTATAATGTAGGTCTCAACATAACTTTCATAACTCAAATTCCCATTCAACATTCGCAAAATAATTACGCTTCTAATTTTCCATTCGCCTTTTTTTCTGAACTCAGAAAAGACAAAACACGACCAATAAATTCCATTACCCAACACAGCTACTAAAACATCATCCACACTGTATCGTAAAGTCCAAATTCAGACGATCGCGAGGCTCCTCCGCCCCCATCATCTTTTTCTTTCTCATAATCAATTCTCCCGTCTCCTCATCACAATCAAAAAATCCCACCTGGAAACTGTGGAAAATCTCCACACTCACGATCTTCGCATTCCCAAGCTGATTCTTGTGCTGTGCAAGTAACCATCCAATACCTTCCCATTCGGTGTTCCCAGCAGTGCAGCTCCATACCCTTTGGAATCATCGATCTCGACTGACAATCCGTTGGTTGGGAAGATTATTTTTTCTTCTTCCAGGATCTCGGTGATTACTGAGAGGGTTTCGGAGTTGGTGATGTGCGATCGGATTATATGTTTGAGATTTTTGAGGGGGGTGGATGTTTTAGTGCATTCTTCATGCCATGAGAGATAGGTTATGTCGGACCATGTCTGGAGGGTAGTTGCTGATACGTTGTCTACTGGCTCGCCTGTTGCTATTGCCTTTGATTGTTTAGTGAAGTTGGGAGACTTCGAATCGATGCTAATGATGATTCCATCCTGAAAGATTTATGTTAGTCAATTTACAGTATCCAGACAATGTGATAACTCGATTCTAGAATGTCACTAAATTGCCTCCTCTGGAATTGATGCTTGGATAAAAAGGCGTAACAAAACTTTGCGTGACATGTGTCTGGAATGATCTTACCTTTGCATTCATTGCGTAGTAAAAATGACCATCTTCTTCCTATCTTCAGTTAGCTTACATGCTTCATAACGCAATTCTAACTTGATAAAGTGTATTTAGAGATAAAATGAGATAGAATCTATCTTTCGCTTCAGGAAAAGGGGTTTAAGGACCACTTATCCACCACTTGTAAACCCAATCTAAATCCTGCTACAAACATCCTCACAACAAAATATAATGAGAAACATCCTTATTCGTAGTTTTTCTTCTCAAAAGGAAAACATTCCTAACACGAACACCAAATCTCGAATATATAGTTCACCCACAGAATAAAAGCAGATGATCTTACCCCAGTAGTCTGACCCAATGTACTATCAGCTTTACCAAAATGCTTAGTCAAGATCCCCTCCCAATTCTCTCCAAAATTCGACTTGGTAATTTTCCGTATGTGCTCCAAGTTATGAAATGCGGATGAAAACTTCCTGGCGATCTATTTTGATAGCCCATCCGTTTTCTTCTCTTGATTCGGGTCTGTCGAAAATACTTTGGGTTGGATAATCGTCTTGAGTATCGCCATCTTGAGAGATTCGTTGCAGCATTAGTTGACCTGCAGTCTTAGCTTCTGAGAACGCGTCCATATTTCTGAGGTGAATATGTTGTTCGTCACGTATTTGTGATATGTGACGAGTGTGAGAAATTAAGAAGGGAAATTTGAGTTTTCGTGGTAGAATACAGACTGATTTTATAGCCGTAGATATTTTATTTTTGTTTGCCTGGATTTTTTAGTTTTGTCATGAGAGCATGTCACTGACTGATTTTGTTTAGTGTCTTGTGAGTAGATCAACAGATTCAAGTGAAAATGTCAACAGCATTCTAGATGCAATCCGAAATGAAGTCTTACAATGATGAATTACCAGTGAACAGGCTAGTCTAACATCAATTGACTGGTTATTCTAAGGCCTAGAAGATGTGGTCCTCTTTGGAAATGTTGAAACATCACTGAAGTTACATTCTCTTCTGTTCATTCTCCTCATCTAGATGTAATATTATTATTCAACTTTCATTTTGCAGGCACGGGATGAGTTAGAACAGGAATGAATCAAAGTATGGAATTGTTGGTATCACCCCGGTGTTGATTATGACGTCTTCATAATAGGTATAATGCATTGATTGATATTGTGTCTTCTTTATTCTAGATTCAGAGCTACGAGACCTATATGCAATAAGTTAGTCCGCTAGTGTGCTAGTGCATTCACGTATGCATATTCACTCGTATCACTACAGGAATCTTCAGCCTTGAGAACATGGCAGGCTCTAGATCCTCATCCGCAAGAGTTGATCAAAGTCGAAGAACTAGTAAACACAAGCCACGACCTCGGGAGCTCACGAAGTCGGCCTAAGCCATCTCGAATATAAGAACTAGTGAATAACGCCATGCTTAAGGGAATAGATATATCACATCACGGTGTTTGGTATTCTCAATGTCTTTCTATCATCATGGTACAAAGACTACTCTACTCCCCTTAGACTTCTATCAGGGGCTTCTTTCTGGAGAGTTATATAACTCTAAAAGATATGGCTCTGGTTTAAAATGCATCTATGGATATTGTCAGTCGTCTGCAGATTTATAAATTAAATGAAGAACTCTTGATGAGTTGCGATATGTGCACTACTAATGTAATTCACTCACGCGCCATTATTCTCTAGAATGAAATTCAATAACTTCACCATCTCACCTCTACTTGTTTCAAATCTGATACTCTAAATAGGAGATTAGTCCCCGAAAATTATTATGAAAGCCATAGCTCCGTTTCATGCCGAGCCGTATCACGTCATTCTCATATCAAAAACCAGTCAATAGAGCGGTTTTGAGAATATTCACATTGGATCAAATTAATCACGTACAGTTGAGCTGGCTCTCAGGTTCTTGGCCTACTTAAAGTTTTCTCTTCTGTTCCTTCTTCTTTCTTTATTTCAGCAATCATGTCGAGCTCTCAAATGGAGACTATGTTGGGGGATATCGATCAAGTACGTATATTTCTTTCCTTGCGCTCGTTCAATTATTTTTCATTTCCATTCAAGTTTCTCTCTCCTTTCAAAGCTAGCAGTACTACTCGATCATACAATTGTTGAGATTAAGTTGTGAAAAGGTGTAAAGTCATCCGATTGGCTCGGCTGAAGCACAGACTTGTTTACCTCATGTCCCTCAGCTCCCAGCTTCAAATAGATTTCATTCAACAATACTGATTTACTTGTGTAGTCTATCATTGATAATTACCATCAAAGAACTTTGGAGATGACTGGAGAAAACGAGGATCTTGGTAGTAATTTCTAATATTTCTAACGATTCTTTTGTTATTCCAGTAGCTCTTAATGGGCTATCTTCCGTTTAAGCAGCACGTTCAATACACTCAAGGAAGTCCTAAAATGTCTGTTCATATTTCCAAATACCCCATGATTGTTGTAAGGAGGAGAAATGAGCTCTTAACTTATTTCTTGATCTGGATTTGAGAGCTATCTAGCTTTTTTCTATTCAACACATACCAGCATAGCCAACACCAGTTTTCTCTGTTCCTTTTATAAAAAACTTTCCCATCTACTATCGGTTGCTTGTCTGAGCTATCATACTCCATTTCTTGATGAAGCAATAAGCGATAATCTTGTCTTTGGGTCGATTTAAGAACTGTCTGGGATTGTTCTGTCTAAGAGTCTTCAAATTCTTGCGTTCATCTCCAATCAATTCCTTTTATGCTCAAAGCAAGCCTGTTTCTCAAAGTCTACAAAGATATTCCAGAGAATAGCCCATAGTCTTGTTTCTGAAAGCTTTTAGACCTAGTGGTCACTGAATGGTACTAATTATTGTATGTTTCTTTCATTCAGACGTCAAATCCTTGACCTCCTGTTAGAATGATCTTGAGAACTTGAAGAACTAACCTAGAGCTACTTACTTCCTTGTCCTTCTCATATTTATTTTGAGGATGACCACATCTTATTTTCTCAAACCACTTTACATTTTGCTACAATTAAGTCATTTCTTGGAATTAAATCATAAATGATGCATTGGACAACATCATCTCTTCATCTCTTCATATCCTCGAATCTCTTTTTGAGAACAGTCTACATTTCTTGTTCATGAGAGAGACTTCAATTCTTCCTATCTCGGTCGAACTCCAAATACTGCATCATTTCATACATTCATTCATTCAATCATCCAACAATCTCTTATTCACTACTCGGAACATGAACTTTATCAAGAGTTCACTTCACCATAATCAACTCTGCAATCAAGTTCCTTTCACCGCCTTCCCATTACTTTATATTTAACCTCGAAAATCAACACTGACTTTTCCTCTTCTTCCAAACAAAGTTGTGGCAGATCCTACAACCTTGGAACCTCCGGCTTTATTCGAAACCCATGGTGAGTTAGTTCTATGACTCAATTACCCAACATCCAAACTTTCTTATCTAAAATTATCAACAGCTCTCACCATGGCAAACTCTCCTTACTTAATGTGCGAACCAATGCACCTGGGACAAGAGCGCTTTCAACGCTGGCCGTCCCCAGCCACTCACACTGGGCCTCCATACCTCACGTTCTGCCTCGCAATCTTAAAAAAATCGCGACAATCAACCTCCCTTTACGATCAACTTTCCCTCAGATCTCTATCGCGACATCAAGAAGTCGCAAAGAATCCGCGACCAGATGCCAGATATGAATCTCGCAGATATGTCCGGAGATGATATTATGGATGATATTCCTTGGCCCGACTATCATGATATTGAGATCCCGCCAATATCTGAAAATCTACTCCAAAGTATTCGGTACAATATCAATCTAATGGAACCCGAACTCCTTGGTCCGATTAAAGGTCCTACAGTCAGTGATGAGGACTTCGTCTTTATAAAGCTTAATTTGAATCAAAAGAGAACGAGAGAAGAACCATATGAAGATATTCCTTATCTTGTACATGAGCATAGATTCTTCAGCGGAAGAGAGCAGAGCTTTGATTCTGCTATGAGGTATTTTATGCTCCGGTTCCTAATATCAAATCCTACTATTGTCCGAGACTGACATTGACATTTGTATAGAGCTAGAGAAGGCCCAGAAATACCAGAATGGACACATCGAGGTTTCGATATTAATGATGAAGAAGATGTAAGTCTTTCATCCCCATATGTCTCTTTTCATCCTTCCTCTTTCCATACCCATGAATCGCAACAATCCAAAGACTAACACCTCATCCCAGATGGCCTTATCAGACCGTCGAGAAATTCAAAAGGGTCTCCGAAGCTATGATGCTACCTACCGTGCAAATTACCTGAACCCCGATCTTGTACCCGAAAAGAGATTAGGTTCATCGAAAAAATCAGGTGCTATGACAAACTGGTATCGAAAAGGTCCTATAGGACGCAGTCGAAACCCTCCCCCAAAACCCCGACAAGATGTTGCGGAGAGAATTTCTCAAGATCACATATGGCTTCTCCAGCAAGATAGCCTAGCTTCGGCCAAAGATAATGAAGATATTGAGATGAGTGGAATAAGTGTGAGCGGTGGGGGTAATACCGTTGGTGCTGAAGTTATTGACGAAATAAGTGCTACGATGGATACTCCTGGTCCTTCCGAGTTTAATTCTGGATTCTGTCAAATGAGTACTATAAATGAGATTCCTAGTCCTTTGGGATACAAGTCTAGTTCTGTTGGTGCAAATATTGTTCCTGCTTCAGGATACAACTTTGCTGCTCCAGCTAGCACTGTCAACAATGCTGCTGGTCCTTCTGGATATAATTTTGGAACCGCTTCAGTAGTTGTTCCCACCAATACGTCAACAACTGTCGCCAATAATACACCAGATGCTCTGATATACAATTCTGGAGCTGTCTTAAGTGCTGCTCCTATGGATACACCAATGGCTTCTTCCATTATTGATGCGCCAAAGCATCCAGTACACAATGCCGGTCCCAATGCAGGTTCCAATGCAAGGAACTTTGCAAACACCGCACCAGGCCCTTCTGGGTACAACTCTGAGATTATCGAAAGTAACAGTTCAAGCATCATGGCAGCTCTTTCCGGATATACTTCTGGACCTGGCATAAACAACACAATTAACACTGCAGCAATCCCTTCGGGACACAACACCTTGTCAACTCCGACTCCAAGAGATTCAATTAGTACCAGAGGAAGTGGTGGAACAAATACCTCGAGCGACTCTTCCCGTCCTATCCCAGATTACAATCAAGGATATACTAAATCTCTAGCCGAGCCCGTCATACATAACTATGCTAAATCTTTCCCTACACATGCCGCCTCTATCACAAAGAGCATAGACCCTCACAACGTCATTGAAGTTCAATCTCGACCAATTACCCAGCAATCCAATCATCCCACTGCAGCCGCATCCGCACCCGCACCTGAAAGTGAAGAAATCCTTCAATGCCATCAGCAAGCCAAGACCCCAACATGGAGAACCTCATTCCCATCAACAAAAGGATGGCCGCAAGAGACGGAAAAGATGAAGACTGGCAGCCAGGTCAAAAGCCAAAACCAAAAGCCACCCGAAAGACTGCTATTTCTAAAGCTGCCACTGCCAATCCGATCACACCAAAAACAATCACTCGTAAAACTCCTACACCAAGGACCAGGAAGCCAAAGACTGCTATTCCCAGTGTCGCTGGTCCCATAGCTACCAGTCCTACAGTTGGAACACCCAACCTCATCAAGCCAGCTGCCGCCCCAAAAACTAGGAAATCTAGAGCCGCTGCTCCCAAAACTGTCGGACCCAAGTCTGCTGCGCTCAAAGCTACTGTTCCTAGAGCTATCACCACTAGAAATTCCACTCCAATGACTGCAGCTCCTAGCACCGCAACCCCCAAAGTTCCCGCCACAAGAGCTAGTTCCAAGCCCAACACCCCCAGGCCTTCCTCATCTGCTTCAACCCCCAGTCTCAAAGTACCCGTCACCAGAAAATCCTCTCTCAAGAAGAGCGTTTCGGGAGAAAGTGCCGACGGTTCATGGGAGCCTGATGGAGAAGACTCATAAGCAAGCGATTCACCTTCATTGCTCTCTATTCTTTCTTCCTATTTAGGATTGTTTCTTTATATTTGGTGCTTTTCTTCTAAATTTCGATGATATGATATCCTGATTTGGTCTGCGTTGAATGTGGATGGATTTTGAGAAGTTTTTGCAAGGCGTTGGATTTATGAAAGGAAAGATGGAGGAAGGAAAGAAGGGCTTGATATAGATAATGAGTTCATGAGTTGATGAGGAATTTTCCGAACCAGCACTACCCAAATACTTGATATGGTTAATCTGCTCGGCGTTTGTTGATTACGTTTTCCGAGAATAGTGTTGAGGAATACCTTTTTTCTTCATTCCTTTCTTTAGTTAGATAAATATTTTGATTCCTTAAGGACTCCATTAAATATGAAGAGAATTAGGGAGAATCGAACTAATACGTAGATAGATCTAGCATAACAGAAGAACCGACAGTGATTTCCCAAACACGCATGGAATCATAAACACTCAGAAGATCCGTATTCCTGCATTACTTGAATCAAGAAATGGGATAATTGACTTCTTAAGATACTATCTCAAGATATAAGGATGCAAAAATTATTTTATTGCTTTCGTCTTTCCTTCTTCATATCAATTTGTTTAAAAACCACCATGCGATCATCTATTCCCGTTTCCATTACCACCTATCCCCTATTTATCACCATACTCGATTATATAGTCAAAAGTATCCCCTTCCGTACCGCCAATAACCCCATCCCATAACAATATCGACGATATAACAATACTCCAACCCCCTCCCACCCACCCAGTCCATATAACCCCAAATCAGCAACCGTAACCATCCCACCCACCCAATACCTATCGTACACCAATCCATAATCATACAAGTAACCCCAGCCACCCAATCAACCTGTATCACCACCCATCCATCTCAATTCCCATACATACACCCTCTACTAGCTCTCCTCGCATGATGAACCACACTCCTCCCAACCCCACACCCATGAGATCCCGTCCTCGAATGTGATTCCGAGATATCTGAATCGTAACATCGATTCAAGTTCGCATAGTGATTATCTGAAACGACGGCTGTTGACGCAATAGCTTTCTCTTTCATGAGTGATATCCTGTTAAGATGTTATCAGGATTTGAAGGTATCGAAAGAGATTTGAGAAGTGGGAAGGCTAACTTACTCATCCTCGGAATAACCGGGGAGATTGACTGCTGGGCCTTCTTGAAAATTGAATGGTGCACTCTGTGATGGTCATGTCAGAGATCGTGCAATGCGGAACCCGAATATATGGATATATACTTACTATAGATAAAGCTTTGGGAGTTTTTGATTTTAATCCAAGGGTTTCAGCACATTTATTGCTGAGCTTTAAGAGTGTAGCTTTGAGTTGTATGCAGGACATGTTGATAAATGATTGAATTGAGATTGAGATGAAAGTATGTGCGTATAAATATATATATCTTGTGATGTCTAACGATAAGTAATTGTTATGTTGATAATTGAATGTCCTCGTGATGTTATACCGTAGATTGAGAACGGGTATGAAAATGTAAGGCAGACGCGCTTTTCTGAAACGATGAATATGCAGGATATTGGAAGACGCGTGACTGAGGAATGACTGTAATTAATGACACAAGAAAATAAATGAAAAAATGATTGTTGATGTAGGTATGTTGCTCACTATAAAAGAAGTAGAAGAAGAAGAATTGCTGAAGAGCTGTCTGCCAATGCCCCGAATAATAAGACTGGCGATGATTGAACAAGATATACGAGAAAAAAAGATTAAAGAGAGGAAAATAAATTTATGAATATAGATTGCCAGTTTGCTGTCAAGGGCAACGATACTATCATATGAGAAATTACACAGAGTCAGTACTACAATGAGTACTACTTCGGGTGCATCAAAATTCCCATTCTTTGGTACGCCTCAAAGTAACGGCAATCCGGCGACGTAACGTGGCGGATTCCTTACTCCAAAGCTTGAAGGAAATGAGAAGTTCCCTTGATTACTCCCTTATCAGATGAGGCCCTTCTGGAATGTTGATGATCAGGATGTATCGCTTCTTTTCTACTAAATCTGTCAAAGGGGGGGTTAACGAGCTGAATACGTTTAATGTCAAAAGGACTACTAGATACCTGGTAACTTATGAGGAGACAAACAATTCGAGTCAGTAGCACCATACAATGTTAACAATAAGTAATAAATAAATAAAAGAATGAAATTGTCCTCAATTCATCAACATGACTAAATTGACTTGAAGTAAATTGATGAATTACATAAAATTCCCCTTCAATAATTATGATGTACAGATTCGAATCAGGGAGGCACGGAATGTCGCCCCAAGAACATACCCGGAATAAGGGAAAAGCGTGGAAATGTGAGGGAGCACAACAGGAAGATAGGAAGTAGGAAGGGTTGATCATGTGATTAACTTTTCAAAAGAATTCCCCCTTCCAATGATTTTGCAGTAAGGCTTATTGCTAGGTAATCTTCACCCATTCTTCAATTGTCTTGCCCAATCAAATGGATCCCTTGCGTTACTTTAGAAAATGGATCAACATTAATCCAAATCCTTTTACTTGACACAAGAATTCTTCGAGATTGTATCACTAATAAAATGTGCATATTGCTTGGCTACAAATTGATATCTGTGTACCAATGGCGTAGAAGCGCCATGGCCCATCAATGCCAGAATGACATTCGACATGTGTAGAACTTGATCATCAAAAATTGATTTCAGCGCCGTGGAAAGAGATAAGGTATATTCGTCATTCGTCTATATGGATCCTTCAATCGCTTATTTCTACTCGAATGCTCCTTTTTGACTAGAACTTATCGATTTGTGGCTCCGATTTCTGGTGTTAAAAGACTCAAAAGTCGTTCGAGAGTTCTGTACTACAAGCACACATGTGTAGAAGTAATACTTAAAAGCCCTTATTTAGGGTAATCCTTCAAGTGGTAACTCTTCAGCTTGACGAATTGTTCAAAGCCAAATTTACTTAGAGTGACGCCCCTTCCGGAATTTTTCCATCCAGTCCATGCAAGGTCCTATCAATATTTGTGAGCCATGTTTATGTACATCATCAAAGGGTAGAGGTGACTTACAGGGCTTGGATAATCACATCTGTTCACAAAGACAGTTCCAGCCTCTACGTCTTCAGCTAATTCGGCTGCTTTTGCCGTGTCTTTGGTCCAAATTGAGGCAGTCAAGCCAAACTCACTGTCATTCATGAGTTCGATGGCTTCTTCATCATTCTTTACTTTCATCACGGGAATGACTGGACCGAAAGTCTCCTCAGTCATCACAGTCATGCTATGATCGACATTACCAAGCAAAGTAGGTTTAACGTAGTTGCCTTCTGAAGGAGGAGACTTGAAGGTTTCATTCTCGGGCGTGAGATCCTTGGCACCCTTATCTAATGCATCCTTGATATGTGCCTCGATCGTTTCCTTTGACCTCTTTGAGACGACGGGGCCGACATGCTGCATAAGCAAGTAGTAAGTATTTAGCCAGCGATAATTGTGTGTGAGGTACTTACCGTTTCCTTATTGAAAGGATCACCTAATTTGTAGTTCTTCAAGACATTCTGCAACGCCTCAATGAATTCATCATGGATCTTCTCATCAACATAGATTCTTTCCAAGCTACAACAACTTTGACCCGAGTTGAAAACAGCTCCATCGACGATCTCCTCAGCTGCCCACGCTACATCAACATCACCTCTTACGTATGCGGGATCTTTACCACCAAGTTCGAGTCCAACATTCACGATTCGATCTGCTGCTGCCTTAGCTGTAGCCAAACCACCAGCTACAGATCCAGTGAAGCACACGAGAGCTACCTTTGGATCTCTAACAATAGATTCGATAATGAGGGGGGAGCCGCAATGGAAATATTGGATGACGTTGTCTGGAAGGCCAGCTTCAGAGAAGATGGATGCCATATGTTCAACAATTGTAGGCGTCTGCGGAGATGGCTTGAGAATGACCGAGTTACCAGCGAGAAGAGCAGGTATCAGAGAGTTGACGAGAATAAGATAGGGGTACTGAGAATAACAAGTTAGCCAGAGAAATGAGGGCCCGGAAAATAACACTTACGTTCCATGCAAAGAGGATGAGACATGGTCCAACTGGCACCTTTCTGATGAATCTCTTGAATCCTTTCTCTGCCTCTCCATCTGTGTCTTTCAATGCATCCTCACTGATCTTCAAAAGGTATTCGCCCCTCTTCACAGCCGTGGCAACTTCTTTCGCAGTATAGGCAATGGGTCGGCCCATCTGTTCCGTTAACTCCTTTGCCAATTCATCTTGCTTATCGTTCAAGAGCTTAAGAGCCTTCTTTACGATATCTTGACGTTCTTTCAATGAAGTCTTACGATACTTCAAGAATGCTTCGGTGGCAGTGACGGGCAATTGCTGTAAATCTTCCGCAGAGATTCCAGTTCTGGTCAAGACAGGCTTGTTGGTGATAGGAGAAATGGTAGTAATTGTTTCGACAGACATTTTGGAAATTTTGTGTACTATTCTTTTAATTGTATGAAATTCAATACAACACGCAACAAAACAAAACAATCACCATGAGACTCTTCTTATGTTGCAGATTTAATTCTAGTGGGGGTGGTGGGATAAAGAGAGTCAAGCAAAGCTATCAGTGACGCCCACTTACCGGTATCGCTATGCGTCAATGTCATGACAGGATGTAACAGGGGTTCACCAGTGGTGCCGACAGATTCCAAGCCGCTAAAATTTTATACTTTTTGTTAATTCACCACCCAAAAAAATTGATAAGTGATCCTGGTCAAAATTTATAATTCTTTACGAAGGGCAATCCGAATTTCTTCCCATTCATCAATCAAGCTATTCGACCAACCAACCTACCAACCAAGCAATAAGTCAATCGATCGATCAATCACTCAGTCAAGCATAAGAATGGCGACGAGAAAGCACAACGATTTCCTAGATTTGGAAGAGAGTGACGGAGATGAGAGTCAAGGATATAATTCGGAAGCAGAGGATCTCAAAAAGGGTGGCAGAAGTTTAAAGAGGAGAAAGGTTGAAGACGATCAAAGCGATGACGAAGATATCGAACAGAATAGCGATCAAGAAGAACAGGACTCTAAGGATGATATAGTCGCAGAAGCTTCAAAAGAGATCGAATCGAAACCAGAATCGAAATCCAAACCAAAGAATACCTCGAAAGAATTGGAATTACCAGGAATTTCAAGGCCTCTCACGAAGAAGAATCTTGTCGCAAGTGCTGCTGCTATCAAGAAATCCGGCGTTGTCTATCTTTCCAGAATACCACCCTTCATGAAACCAACAAAATTACGATCACTCCTTGAACCATACGGTGACATTAATCGCATATTCATGACACCTGAAGATCCAGCTTCGCACACAAGACGAGTTCGCAATGGAGGAAATAAGAAACGATCATTTGTGGATGGGTGGGTAGAATTTGTGAATAAAGCGGACGCCAAGAAGGTGTGCGAACTATTGAATGCGAAGACAATTGGAGGCAAAAAAGGAAACTATTATCATGACGATGTATGGAATCTTCTCTATTTGAAGGGCTTTAAATGGAACAATTTGACGGAACAAATTGCGGCAGAAAATGCGGAGAGAAACAGCAGAATGAGAGCTGAAATCAGCAAGACGACGAAGGAGAATAAGGAATATGTACAAAACGTTGAACGCGCGAAGATACAAGAGGGAATGGAAGCTAAGAAGGCTGCAAAGAAGAGGAAGGATGGCGATGACGCCGAGGTCACAAAGGATGAAAACATGGAGGCAAAGAAGCAGAAGAAGGATGCTAACAGACCAATGCGCTTCAAGCAAAATGCTCCAGCATTGAAGAACAAGACTCAGAGTCAACCAGAACAGGTGAAGAGGGTTTTGAGTAAGATTTTCTAGACTAATAAAATACATTGTGAAGGGAGTATCGCATCTACATAATTCAACTATCCCCATGTTGGCCTTCTCAATGAACTAAAGAAAACTTCCAATAATTTCAACAGATACATGTTGTGTTCTGTTGTCAACCACCCTTCAATCATTTCTTGTGTTGCTGCATCAACAGCTTTTCCAAAAGCATCAAAGTTTCTTCTCAATCCTTCCACATTGATATTCCTCCCCGAAGCTGCAGCATTCTTTTCCAACTTTTCCACCTGCATTTCGGCTATAGCACGCCAGGTTTCAATAGCTTGAAGATTATCATCTAAACTTTGAACGAGCTCAGCATTGAAGGCAGCCTTCATTCTCAACTTTTCATATTGCTCCAAATCTACTCGGAATCCAGGAAGATGCATTTCCACATCTCTCCAGATAATTCTCAAGACGCTGTGAGCGGTAGGTTGGCTATATAAAGGACTTGCTAGGTGCGTCGTCCATTCATGGATTGTTGCAGCCGCTCGTCTCTCTTGTTCTGGTCGGTAGCATCGTGGGTCTGTTTTTGCAATGATTCCAGTGCGGACTTGGCGGGCTAGAATTTCTCCCTGATCTTCAAATTCCAGCCAACCCGGAGGAAGTGGACCACGGGTGGGATTTAGTTTTGTTCTTTCATTTGTTGCAATGTTGTAGTAGAATTTCGACCCATCGCAGCATTGTCTTTGCTCCCACCACTCGGGGTTGGATATCGTTGCTTTGGGCATTGGATGGATTGTAGTTATTATGCTCTTTGTTTTCTTCCTCTCTTCGGAGTGATTGAATGATCCAATATAATTCTAGAGCGGCCATTGCCTATCTTTTATATCTTGGTCTTCACCAGTTAAATGTCCCTACAGAAATATTTCTATTTCACTCATAGCTTCTCTCCGATATTGGTACTGACGAAGAAACAATCATAGAGCCAGATGTGCTGACCTTGTTGAAAATTCTAATACCAAATGTTTACCAGTCATAGTTGATATATCTTTGGTTTCACGATTCGTTAGTGATTGTCATTCCTTCTCTGGTTTACTGACGCGATCATATATTCTCCTTTTAGACGATGACTTTGCCATTCTTCATGACGTAAATTGTGAATTTCTAATTAGTCACTCATTTATCTCAATACTTTTCAATACACCTTACTTGACTTGTCACAACATCCCGAAAGCAAACAAATCTCGAATCATCAGTGAAAGAGATGGGATTAATTCAATCTTGATATCCACATACACAATGATTTAAGTCTACCCTCAGTAACGTCTCACTCCGGGTGCCTCTCAGCTTCCCAGTTTTAGGAGCAAAAGATCCCATTATCTGCGTACCAAGCCTACATGTTCCCCTGTATATCCCTCCCTGAATGTCCTCACCATATTCTCATCCTGCAATTTCCCAACAGCAGCACTCAAAGAATTCAAGTCCTTCACCAAAAATCCAAGCATATCTTTCTGCAGCCTCTCTCTCATCTTCTCCCCATGTTTACACGATTCATAATAATCTTGTCTTGCCTTTCTAGCCTCTTTCCTACGCCCTTCTGCTGCTTCCCAGAAGCTTCTGAGATGACCCATTGGTACCGGAGATGCACATCTGGATTTTAAATACTTCATAAGATCTTCTTCTGCTTTATTGATACAGTAGAAATATTTCTCGCGCGTTTTTTTGGTGCTTTCTACTGCTTTTTCTATTTCGGTGAAGATGCCTGGGGGAGGTGTAATGGGCGAAAGACGTTGGAATGTCGGTACATCATATCTTGCTTGTTCCCTGGCCCTTTGAAGGTAATAATGTTGGTAGTATCCGCGGTCTCCCATTTTACTTATTCGGGGTGGGTCGTGTTTCTGATTGGGATTGTATTCCGAATTCTCTACCGTGCTGATTCTGAAAATATAACTATGCCACAACGATTTTGGATTCATTATATGGTCTTTGTTTGTTTGCATATTCACAGCATTCAGATACATATGACTGCATTATGAGATATCATGACGATGTTAAATTCGTGGCTGCTTTTTCCGACGGTGTTCGCCAACACATAAGGAATCACTAGTAGTAGTATGGAAGAATATCGGGGAGGAGGGCTTACGGTGAATTTCAGAAAGTAGAATAAGACTACATCACATAATGAGACTTTTAAGAATTCATACGGTGTTTCTCTCAAGGTCTCGAAATCTGCCAATTATTATTTTGGCTTCATAAATCATCGATTCGCTAAAACAAAATTGCATCATCTACCCGAACTTTCATGCCATCTTCCCTTCACTTGGCTCAAGTAACCTCAATCTCTTCTCGCCACTCCTACACTCTTTCTTCATATTCTCTGATAGCCCTCTCCTGATCCTGAGCTTTCCTCATTGCATTTCTAAACCGCACTTGTCTCTGATCAACCTTCCTCTGGAACTCCTCAGAATCTTTCTTCATGCCTTTATAATAGTTTTCTACATCTGTCCACCACATTCTACTACGCAAATCAGCTGCTTCCAATTGTCCCTCTAGTTTATGAATTCCTTCCTCGAGATACACAATTCTTCTTCTGAGTTGTTCGTATGTCATTTGGGGAGCAATTCTTGTCTGAGGATTTGCGGGGATTCTGTAACTACTTGAGGATTTACAATATTGTTGCGAGTGATTGAAAGAAGACTCTGAGCTTGAAAATATTCCCATTTTGTCTTCTTTGGTTGCATTTACTCGAGTCTTTTAAGAAGGAGAACACTACGTTCATGATATTTTGGTTGGTCGCCTCTACTCGTGATATATATTACCATTGTTTCAGAGTTTGCTGGTCCAAGTCATGATGATTGTAATTCTATCTAATTGACATTGATATGTCACACATTGGCAGACTATAGTCACTATACAAACAATCCTTGCGACTCATTTTCGAGTTTGTTTATTAATCATTCATAGAGTGTATACACAGCAACTGACAAATTTACTTTCCATTTCATATGCGAGGAGTTTAATCGTTCATGAGTCATTCCATCAACCTGTGGTTAGTCTAATTAGATAATTTGCCAAATACTGAATCTTTATTGCATGAGCTACTTTCAGATATCAAGCATCTATTCCACAATCCAAGTCCGGTCATTTGAATTCATGTTACGAATCACTTGTACGCAAGATCCAGAGCTTAGCTTCCACAATTAATCGATTCGCTAAGAAATTACAAAAATTTCCTACCAGATAACATCCAAAATTCTACTTCTATAATCTCCCGCTCAATTACCCCACACACTTTCTGCCGCCGCAGCCGCCTCTTTTTAATTTTTCTCTTCTTCATTCCCACCTCCCCAAGCTGTATTTGATTGAGCTTCTTCAACTCCTCCATTCCCAAAGCCCTGATCTCCTTGAGTCTCAGACTCAACTTTTTCCGTTTGATCCTCTTGACCCCTTGATTCCTCCGTCCACCGTAACTACTCTCACCCCGATTACTCTCTCTGCTGAACTCATTCCTCTGAGCTCCATAACCATCCACATCCCGATTATCATCTCTACCCACCCCACTATTTTCCACTCCCTCCCTTTCATACCTAGGCAATCCCAATTTATTCCTATAATTCGCTTCCGTCCGTTCCAAACTCTCTTGTAGATTCGCATAATCCTCTCTCAGACCCCTGAATAAATTCTCCACGTATTTCCGCCACGCTGCAAGAGTATCCTTTTCGGACTTCACATAACTAGCTACATTCTTCTTCTCTGCCGAAATTTCCTTTTCCAGTGCGGTCACTTTTCTTCTGAGAAGATCGATTTCGGTTTTTTGTCGAACTTCGACTGGGGTTCGATTGAATATTGATGGCATGATTTTGGCGATGGATCTTTTTGCCGAGTTCGAACTCGGTAAATAAAGGTAAGAATAAGCAATTATCTGATTTTGAAAGAAAATCCCCTAACCTAGGTGAGAATCATGATGTTGAAATGTCGAACTGGTTACCTCAACACAATATATATTTCAAAATGTACAAAGTTTGCATACTCATCTATGTTGCACGGCAAGCGACCACTGTCAAAGTGACTGTTGGTATTAATGAGGTCAGATTACAGAACGAGAAGTTTTCAGAATCTTCAAAGAGCAAACAATGATCAATCAATTTCAAAAACACTCCATCCTCGAAATGACTAACAACCATGAGTTAGAAGTGACTGCACCCATGAATATATGTAAAAGTTTGCAATATCTAAATCATCGTGGAAACCACAATTCTCCCCACAACCCCTCTCTCCAATCCACCTCCTTCATCCTTCCCTCCTCTCTCGCCTCCTCAAACTATCCATCCAAATCATCAGCCCTATCCTTCTCTACCCTTAACTTCCCCTCCATCTCATCATATTCCTGGCTTCTACCCTCTAACCAAGGATACATATCCCGCATACGCGCTCTCTCCATCAACAACCAAACACAACACAACACAAATTTTCTTTCCTCCCCATAAGCATCAAGAACTCCACACAACAGTTCCAAAATATTCAATTCTATCAGCCAAAGAAGAATCCAAAGAACTCATGGAATCCATGTACAGAAAATCCCATCAATACCTCACCCAAACACGCATAATATCTCACTACATAACACAACATGCTCACTCGTCAATTCCCACAAATTTCCCCTCTATACCTACTTATCCCACCAATCCCACCATTCCAAAAACAAAGCACTCACCACTCTATCTATCTACAACCATCCCAACCATCCAGTCATCTAAACATCCCCAACTCTCAAACACTTGCTTTCCCATTTCCCCATTTCCCATTTCCTATTTCCGCATCAACAAACATCCCAACAACACAAAAGCCAGCACACACACATCCATCAAATCGACTCATCTAACCACAGCAATCTAGCGCTTTAAGATATTATTCCACACAGGAGTTCCATTGCAGAACCTTCCTCACTACCATACCACCTTGCACTCACTCAACACCCCAAAAGGTTCCTAGTCTCCCAAAAACCATTCCAGAAATCACAATGTTAGCTCAAGATATCTTCTCTTTCCCTCAGGATGATAACCTAGTGTATAACACCCAAAGACTCTCCCTCCGTAAAAGCATCACCAGTGATTTTTTCGTAGGCTCTAAAACATTACTCCCATCCACTCACCTCCCTCAATTTCAACTCTGCCTCTCACCACCATAATCTATACAAATCGGTCTTCACAATCACACAATAAAAAACTAGGAATCTGACAGAAAAAGTGTTATTAATCTTCAGAGAAAAGATCTCCAAAGCCCTAATTACGCCCCGTTGCATTCCATTCTGCCCATCTTGAAGTCAACTTTCAAGCTCAAATAAAACCCAGTAATATAATGTAACCAAGTTTTCCTTTCCTTCTTCACTACAACCATTTCTCACAACCATACAATTCAGATCGCTCCAATGCTTCAAAACCCAATCCAACCCCCCATTGATTCCCTCAAATCTTTTCAAACCCTAGTAAGAAAATTATTCAAATCGTCGAAAGATTGACAATAATGACTCCGTTTTATATGCATGTAATTCAAATATAAATCTCTTTCCATTCATTTCCCTCATAGTTGACCAGAAAGAAGTGCTTCAGTTGCTATTTAAAAGTTAGTTGACGAAAAATCTGAATTGGGAATAAGTGATAACATACCAGAATTAATATAAGCTCTTCTAGCATCAAGTGAAACACCAAATCTCTTCTCTAACTCCATCTTGATACTCTTTTTCGTAATTGTCATCAAATCAGCTGTTCTGAGAATATCTCTAATCTCTTGCAAGATAGAGTCATCACTTGGCAAACCTGCCAAATTGGACATTTCCATTTCTTGTTGACCGAAATGTTGACTTCCGCTGAATTGACTAGCTCGATTTCCCGGTGTACCCATCCCCATTTCTGATGGAGCCAATGAGAGACGGGATTGATACGGATTGCCATTCTTAGAGTCGATACCATAACCATTGTACTGGGACATTGAACGAGATGCCGGAATGGCGTATTCCGAGACGTTAGGTTGATACTTAGTACCATAGGAATATCCTGAAATGACAGATCTTCCATCATCATCTTGTTGAGTTTGAGCTTCCCAAAGCTCGGCTTGATAGTCTTCCCATTTCTTGTGTGGAATAGATGCGGGATCAAACACTCCTTCATCGGTGATGACAATCTGTTTACCCGATTCTCCAGTAACAACACGAGTGTTACCCCAAGAGAAATCATCCATATGCCAGAAACTATACAATGGAAGACACAAAGAGTACACAGGAATGGCAAGGATGTAAAGAATCATCCATCCGATCATCTCCCATTTGCGTCGTACGATGAAGATGATTGCTTGCAAACCATAGATTGCAGCAAGTAGAATGAAAGCCGTGACAGGAACAAAACTTGGCGATTGGATAACGAGGACGATGAGATAGACGATATAAGCAACAGTGACCGGTTGAACCAATGTGGAGATCAAATCAATCATGACAACGAAACGCATACTGAAGCAGCAGAAACCACAAAGTTCGGACATAGGCACGAGTTCCGCAAGATTGTGTACTGTTGAGTTAATCCAGCGACGACGTTGAGAAAGGAAGACAGCCCAGGAGTCAGGAGCAATAGTCCAAGCGTGAGCGGTACTGATATACTTGGTCTTGTACTTGGCGTGGTGTTTCATGAGAAGTGTGGTCAAGTAACGATCTTCTCCCAAATGTAGCAAGTTCTTCATGTGAAGTGTATCGACTCGAATATTGGCATAGGCTTCCACAACTTCACGACTGACGAATAGAGGCTTTCCGGATTCTGCAGCTCGAATACGATACATTGTGAAACAACCTGGCAGACAAGTAACACTACCAAACAAACTTTCGAACGCTTTCGCAAGATTGTGAGAGATGAAGTACTCATAAACTTGAATCATAGTGACGAATGAAGATTTGGAGTTCGTTAATGCCGTCTCTCCACAAACACCGAGTAATTTAGTATCGTCCAAGAATGCTGAAACCATTCGTGAGGCAGAGTCCGCTGCAACCACCGTATCGGCATCAATTTGTAACATGAATTCATAAAATGTCGGATTGACACCAATGATATTGCGAATTTGATGATACATTTCCAGCTCGAGAGGGCTCATCGGCGCATTGTAGTGAACACGGTTCAAGAATCGCATAATGACCATTTGAGAATCACGCTTTCCTCTGTTTCCTGGTTTGGAAACTTCAGAAGGCTTGCCAACTTTCACGACGACCAAGAAAGGAACGATATGACCTTGGACCTCGTAAAGACCGGAATAACACTTGCCCATATTGTGTTGTTTCATTCCTTCTCCCAAAGACTCAAAGCTCAGGGGTTCAGGGTCAACGGTGTCTGATACCCCAAGAATATCCAAAACGATGCGTGGAGTAGGTCTATCGTTACCTTGACCAATAATCATACCATCACAGATAACAACCAAGAGTTTACGCTTGTCGTCATACTTCATTCTGGCAATGGAGTCAATAGCACGTCGAAGAGAGTCCTCGTCTTCTGTATAGACAGGCACTTGACAGATGACGAACTTATCCAGATTTTCGGGTATGTTTTTGCCACCGAATTGAAGAGCCGCAAAAAACTTGAAGACGATGACAGAGCTAAGAATGATCGTGATGGCCAAAATCAAGTACTCAGCAAATTGACACTTGATAGAGTTTCTGGTATCAACATCTGCAACATAAAAAAGATTATCGAGACAAATCTTCATTCTAGACCGCATCTCATCACTAATGGCAAGAGCATTCCAGTATTTCGTGACGTCCTTTCCAGATTTTTGTTGAAACAAGTCCACGACCAAGGGTGACATGAAGTCGACACTAACATCCGAAGATGCAGTTTCGCCCTCAGCAACAATGATTTTACGACCTCCAGAAATATACTTGGTAAGGTCATAGACTTTACCATCAATGATGCCGATCGAGTCCAATTTCGAAGCAAGCGTTTTAACATATGACGCCGTATAACCAAGATGACCCTTATAATAACCGGACTCTTTAAGCATAATCATTTGCTCTATGAACCAATCGGGACGGGAATCATTCTTGAAGGCACGGAAGTCATGATATGCAGCATTGGCATCTGTGCTACTGACTGTAGAGGCGGAACCACTGACATTAGAAGAAGTATAATCAAGTTGCACTGAAGGATCGATAGAGCCTGTGGTTCCTTGACAGAGAGCCGAGACTTGAATCGGAAATAGGCCAGTAGCATCAATACCAGCATACTTCAAGATACTCTTTTGGGGTATAATCGACGGGTAGTGACGAGTTGAAAAACTTGAAAGATCAAAAACCGTTCCTCTAATGGCAACATAGGCATCGTTGGTTTTCCCATCGTACGACGTCAACTCAGCTGCGCTATAAACGTGTTGAGTTGGACAAATCAATTTTGGAAAGATCACGACGAAGAAAGCGGAGAAGAGACAAGCCCACCAAATCATCATGTTGATCGCAAGCTTTTCTCTCCAAGCCAACCGAACGTCTTTTCGAGGCATGCGACCGATCCATCGTATCAAGAAATCAGGAATGAGCCAAGTCATCAAGTAGACCATTGCTACCCACCTCTTACGACTCGCGCTGACTCTAACTTCCTCTACCTCAACCATGGTCTTTTCATTTCCCTTCTCAGCCAATTGCTCTTTGGTGTCCAAATTGCGGAACATATCACCTTGACCAAGAGCTGAAGCACCAGCATCAGAGCGTGCATCGTCTTGGCTACCAAAGTAACCAGATTTCTTATCTCCATAGAACGCTCCAGGGGATGGTGTGAGTAGAGCGGCCCCAGGACCCAAAAGACGTTCTTTTGAGGCTCCATAGTTTTCACC